TGTTCGAAAGAAAAGCTTATAGATAGTACTGTACTAGTCTAGTCTAGTGTGTCTTAATGGTATGCTATTGATGTGGTAGCCTGGAACACACTTCTTCATCATGCAAGCCTGTTCCATGTGTTACGAGATCCTTAGCATCCTGGCCCCTCCTGTAAAATCCCAGGAATACCCCGAAGTGGGGCCTAGGGAAGGCAACAGTATTCCAGGCTGACAACTACTATTACCATGCTAAGTTTGATGAGGTGAGCATTTCCCAGGTTTGAAAAAGAGTTAGCCTTGCCTTAAGAGGACTTTCAAGATTAAAAAAGAAAAGAATCACAAGGCTGCGGTGGCTCAGTGGTTGAATGTCAACCTATGAACACCGTGGTCGGCAAACCACGGCTCGTGAGCCACATGCGGCTCTTTGGCCCCTTGAGTGTGGCTCTTCTACAAAATACCACGTGCGGGTGCGTGCGTACAGTGTGATTGAAACTTTGTGGCCCATGCGCAGAAGTTGGTATTTTGTGGAAGAGCCAGTATTTGTGGAAGAGCCACACTCAAGGGGCCAAAGAGCCGCATATGGCTCGCGAGCCACGGTTTGCCGACCACTGAACTGGTAGGTCACGGTTTGGATCCTGGCCAGGACACATGCCCAGGTTGCAGGCTCAATCCCCAGTGGGGGGTATGCAGGAGGCAGCCGGTCAATGGATCAATGATTCTCTCTCATCATTGATGTCTCTATCTCTCTATTCTCTTCCTTCCCCTCTGAAATCAATAAAAATATATTTTAAAAAAGAATAATTTTAATCATTTTCCTGATTGGTCTGGTCCAAATAATAGCTGTTGAACAAAGAGATATATACTAGTATAAATCTTTGGAACTTTCATCCATTTTCTTGCTGCTTTGCATGTTTTGATTTTAGATCATATTTATTGAGCCTATGTACTATGTACTGTGCTACATGCTTTATCTCATTTAATCCCTACTATAATCCCATAGGAGAGGTAATATCCATCCATATTTTACAAATGAGGTAATATGAGGTATAGATAGGGTAAATAATTTGCCCGTGGATCATACAGTTAAGCAGCAAAGAGTCAGGCCTGACTCCCGCGGAGTGCCGGGCTGCCGCGGGATTCAGGCCTGACTGGCATCTCGGGTGGCCAGGACCCACGCCTGAATTCCGCCCCAGGCCACCCCGGCCCCCCTGCCTGTGTCCACTCTGGGCTGCTGGAGCCACCGCGCCGGCTCGGGCAGGACCCCTATGCTTTAGCCTTTATTCTCCTGTACTGATGGATACATGGTAACACTTTGTTAATGTCATCACTTAAAGACAGTGTAAAATTTAACCCCAAAATTGCTTTACAACAAAAGAGTTTTTGTACCAGAATGTGAATTCTTCAAGGTAAACAACAAGAAATGGCTGATATTGTGGCATAACAAATAATCTTTTACTGGAAGAGGTAAGAGTCCTAATTTAAGGATTTTTCATGTATGTGTATGTGTGTGTGTGTGTGTGTATATATATATTTATATATATAAAACCCAGTAGCCCTAACGCCATAACGACCAAAGTCCGGTCACCAGGAGGCTGCATGCGCGGGCAAGGCGTGCGTGCGTGGCCGGGGCTGCATGCACGGCGAGGCACACGGGTGGGTGGGGACTTGACTCTGGGTCTCAGGGCGCGGCGGGACTCGGGGGAGTCCTGATGCACAGCAGGGTCTGGGGCCCTGGGTCTTGCACGATTTCCTGCAGGTCTGGGTCTCACATGATTTCGTGTGCTGGATCACTAGTATCTTACTAATAAAAGCCTAGGTCAGTGGTCGGCAAACCGCGGCTCGCGAGCCACATGCGGCTCTTTGGCCCCTTGAGTGTGGTTCTTCCACAAAATACCACGTGCGGGCGCACACGTACAGTGTGAATGAAACTTCGTGGCCCATGCGCAGAAGTTGGTTTCGGCCTGGGCGAGTCTGTTTTGAAGAAGTGGTGTTAGAAGAAGTGGGGGGTGTCGGTAGGTCGGGCGACAGGAGACACGGCGCAAGCAGGCCGTGGGATAATCCAGTGCAGGGGGAAGTACGTTTTTCCCGAGGGCGACCCCTTCCAACTCTCCCATCCACACTCGTCTATCTAAAACAAGTATACAAGACGAGTGTGGATGGGAGAGTTGGAAGGGGTCGACCTCAGCGAACGTACCTCAGTCAGGTTGAGGACGTTTTTAGCAAAGGCCAGCTTAGGAGTACCCTAATTAAGTTAATAACAATGTACCTACCTATATAGTTTAAGTTGAAAAAATTTGGCTCTCAAAAGAAATTTCAATCATTGTACTGTTGATATTTGGCTCTGTTGACCAATGAGTTTGCCGACCACTGGCCTAGGTGGTCACAAGATGGCTGTGCGCACATAGCGGGCACACGCAGGTGGGTGGGGCTGGGCTTGACGCTGTGTGCATGAGGTCGCTGGAGGGAAGTTGACCAGAAGGTGCATCGGGGGAGTCCCGCAGGGCGCCGGCCATGGGGTGGTACTCGGGGGAGTCACCCCTCGGGCTAAACATCAGGGCAAAGGGCACCACCCCCACTTCACCTCCCCCCAGGGGAAATGAGATTGAGCTCCAGTGTCGGGATAAACCTGGGGTAGCGGGAGCTGCCCACACTCCACATCCACCCCCCCAGCCTTGACCTGGGGTATGAACATGACGGAAAACCTCCCTGGTCAGTGCCTGGTCCCCTACCCTGAGCTTCTCCCCACACAAGAGCAGTGATTTCATTCCTGACAAGAGCAGTGACCTCACTACCTGACAATGGAGCCCAACAGAACGTGGAACCCTGGTAGCCAGGCAGCCACGTTCCAAAACAGCCCCTACCCAGCTCATTTCATAGAGACATTCCCACCACGGCATGTTCTGCTGTTTGCCGCAGTCCCGTCACCGTGATAGGCAAAGAGCCAGCCAGGACAGCTTCTTCCACCTCTGCTGCCACTGGCTCCACACTCAGCCCCGACACCTCTGGCCATTTTCACGGGGAACCCAAGGTAACCCAGGGATGCCCAGGGTGGTTTTCTTAGAACCAGGCCACCACTCTCATCCCCCTCACCAGCCCTATGTCCCCTGGGGCTCCGGCCCTGTGGGGCTGTGGGACTCTGGGACTCAGGGGAGTCCCGTAGCCCCATGGGGCGCCGGCTTTGATGCAGCATCCCCGCGGGAGCCATCACAGACTCTGACAGGAGGGAGGAGGGAGCCGGATACCCAACCCAGGACTTGGCAAATAGTGATATTAAAATATTTCTTCTAATTCCCTTTCAATGTGCACGAATTCGTGCACTGGGCCATACATATAAAGAGGTAATATGCAAATTAGGCCAGGACGCCGTAATGGGTCACGACCAGACAGGAGGAGGTTGCGCACACAGGTGAGGCCCGGAGTGGAGATGGAGACAGACACATGGGTCCTCCCCGAGCTGGCGCGGTGGCTCCAGCAGCCCAGAGTGGACACAGGCAGGGGGGCCGGGGTGGCCTGGGGCGGAATTCAGGCGTGGGTCCTGGCCACCCGAGATGCCAGTCAGGCCTGACTCCCGCGGCAGCCCGGCACTCCGCGAGTTAGGCTCCCAGCCACCCGCGATGCAGGTCCGGCTTGACTCCCGTGGCAGCCCGCGGAGCACCTCCTCGCATGGCGGGAGGCGGGGTGCCTCCTCACGCAATTTCAATCGCGCGCTGGGCCTCTAGTATATATAAGAGCTGGGCCTCTAGTATATATATATTTAGGTGCTACCAAATAACAAGGGAAAGATATGAACATGAAAGTTATTTTCCCTAAATGAGTCTTCCAAATAATTTATAAAACTATCGACCTCTATGATTTTCATTACAGTGGAATCCAAACAGTCACATAAATGCTGCATCTATTTCATATTCTTACATTCTCAAGAAAGATACATGAACCCAAACAATATTCACATTAAAAGAATCATCAAAAGCATTGTCAAGCCCTAGCTGTTTTGACTCAGAGGTTAGTCCTGGCGAGGATGTGGAGGATAGGGAACCCTCATGCACTGCTGGTGGGAATGCAGACAGGTGCAGCCATTATGGAAAACAGTATGGAGTTTCCTCAAAAAGTTAAATATGGAACTGCCATTTGATTCAGTGATCTCACTTTTAGGATCACTAAGAAACCCAAAACAGCAATCAGAAAGAATGTATGCACCCCTATGTTCATAGCAGCACAATTTACAATAGCTAAGATTTGGAAACAGCCTAAGTGTCCATCAGCAGGTGAGTGGATTAAAAAGGTGTGGTACATTTACACCATGGAATACTATACAGCAGTTAAAAAGAAGGATTTCTTACCCTTTGAGACAGCATGGAGGGACCTGGAGAGTACTATGCTAAGCGAAATAAGCCAGTCAGAGAAAAATAAGTATCACATGATCTCACTCATATGTGAAATCAAATGAACAAAATAAACTGATGAACAAAATCGATCCAGAAGCATGGAACAGACTGTCGAATCTCAGAGGGAAGGGGTGGCTGGGTGGGAAAAGATCAATCAAAGACCTTGTATGCAATTATATGCATAACCCATGGACACAGACAATAGGGTGGTGAAGGCAGGGGGCAGGGGTGGGCTAGAAGGGGTCAATGGGAAGAAAATGGTGACATATGTAATACTTTCAACAATAAAGATTTAATAGAAAAAATTTAAAATACACATATTAAAACACAAAAAAACCTGACAAGGTCATCAAAACAAAGGAAGTCTGAGAAATGGTCACAGCTAAGAAGAGTCTCAGGAAACAAGAAACAGAAAACACATTAGGTAAAAACGAAGGAAATCTGAATTAACTAAAATATGAATTTTAATTAATAACATTTAATTTTAACAAATGTACCATGCTAATGTAAGCTATTGATAAGAGAGGAAATGGGGTGCAGGGTATATGTGAACTCCCTGTATTATCTTCTCAATTTTTCTGTAAAATTAAAACTGCTCTGAAAAATAAAATCTATGTAAAAAAAATGTTTAATTACCTTAAGGTGGTTCATGAGCCCTGGCACAGGCGTCTTATTCACATCCCCAGTTCTGAAAGCACCTTCTTTTCAGTAGTCTGGAAGTCTAACAAAATGAGATAGTTATCCTTCTGCTAACTTCCAAACTCAACATGGAAGAATGACAAAAACACAGAAGGCTAGACCACACTTTTAGGGCAGGTGGTTCTTCCCCAATTATCATCACAAGCTGAATCTTCTTTTCCTTTAGGTCACAAATATCTTCTACATCAGCAGTTAGAAAGACAAAAAGATAGTCCACCGCTCATTTTCTTAAGGCTTTTGCAGCACATCTGGTTGTGCTTACCATCCTAAGCACCCCAATTCTTTTTAGAGAAGAAAGGATGAGCCTGGGCATATCAAGCAACTACAACATTTTCTATTGCATAGCTAAAATAGCATATAACTTTCCTAAAAATACTATTATATAATCCATTTTTGTTCTATGAAGAACAATTATATATAGAATAGTAGCACCTTTATTGGGTTATTTTGACATGTGAGCCTTCTCTCTCCCCATCATTTAGAAACTATCTTCATTCCAGGAAACCTAGTAATTCAATGTTAACTTTATCATTTTAGGGCAAATATTGGCTTATAGCAGAGCCATGATGCACACAAGTTTCTAATTAATCTCCTGACTCCACCTCATTTTATAACCACAGTAGAGCTAAAATAACATATTTTGTTTATACTGTATAATTTCAGCACTTTACTATACTTTTAATCTTAATTTCTGTTAATTTATCTTAAACATTACCCAATAAGTGAACTTCAAGCATGAGCAAGAAGTACTGTGCACCTACATCAGGGGTCCTCAAACTATGGCCCACGGGCCACACGCAAATACAAATATTGTATTTGTTCCCGTTTTGTTTTTTTACTTCAAAATAAGATATGTGCAGTGTGCATAGGAATTTTTTCATAGTTTTTTTTTTTAAAACTATAGTCCGGCTCTCCAACGGTCTGAGGGACAGTGAACTGGCCCCCTGTTTAAAAAGTTTGAGGACCCCTGACCTACATGAATGCTGTCTTCTAGCATATGTAATTGCTTTTTCCAATCTTCTAACACATGACAATGCAAAATCCACCCCACATTCATGTTAACCTTCTACCATCAAATCCTCAATCTTTCTACCTTTCCTAAATGCCTATTAAAAGTCATAGTGTGTTGTTATCACTTTCATCACTTAAAATACTGTTTATTAATTTTTAATTCTCCTCTAGATTTTATCACTATAAATCTTGAGAATAAAAACCAAACATGCTCTTTCAGCTATAGTGCCTTGTCCACATTAAATATTTTGTAGGACTTTTAAATAATTGAAAAACTAATTTGTTCTGGTTGTCGGGTCAATTATTAAATGATATTATTTAAAAAAAAAGACAAGTCAGCCTGTTGGAAACATATGCCAGAAGCAGATCATCTCCACATTTTATTACTTAAATAAAGAGATTACTTAGAACAGTAGTTTTCAAATGGTGGGTTGTGACCTCTTAATAAATTATATAATAAATTTATAGGGTGATGACAAGTATTTTTTTAAAATAATAAATATAACAGAAAATATTACAGTGTTTCACATATAGTGATGGTAAATACTGATTCAAAAAAAATTGTCTAAGGGATGTATATGTTCTAGATCATGATTATAATGTATTTCTTGCTGTGGGTTGCTTTGCAAAATATTGACTTAGAATATGGTAAGGTATTCTAGGTTTTGTAAGAAAATTATTTAGCACCTTTTCTTTTTACTTTTATCTGGATAGCAGTTTTGAATTAACAAAATGGAATTATTTGAGAAACTTCTGGATATGAAAGTTGAAACAATTCTGTTATAAAATGTTTTTAAAATATATTTTTATTGATATTAGAAAGGAAGGGGGAGAAAGAGAGAGAGCTGGAAACATCAATGATGAGAAAGAACCATTGATTGGCTGACTCCTGCACACCTCCCTACTGGGGATCGAGCTGGCAACCTGGGCATGTGCCCTGACCGGGAATCGAACCATGATCTCCTGATTCACAGGTTGACCCTCAACCACTGAGCCACATGGCTGGGCTGTTATAAAATTTTATATGACATTTTCCAAATGCAGCCTCGCTGTGTGTGTTTTTTTTTAAATTAAATCTTTATTGTTCAGATTGTTACAGTTGTTCCTCTTTTTTCCCCCATAGCTCCCCTCCACACGGTTCCCACCCCACCCTCTGCCCATACCCACCCCCCCCAACTGTCCTCATCCATAGGTGTATGATTTTTTTCCAGTCTCTTCCCATACCCCCCACTCCCCTTTCCCCCCCAAGAATAGTCAGTACACTCCCTTTCTATGGCCCTGATTCTATTATATTCACCAGTTTATTCTGTTCATCAGATTATTTATTCACTTGATTTTTAGATTCACTTGTTGATAGATGTGTATTTGTTGTTCATAATTTGTATCTTTACCTTTTTCTTCTTCTTCCTCTTCTTAAAGGATACCTTTCAGCGTTTCATATAATACTGGTTTGGTGGTGATGAACTCCTTTAGCTTTTCCTTATCTGTGAAGCTCTTTATCTGACCTTCAATTCTGAATGATAGCTTTGCTGGGTAAAGTAATCTAGGTTGTAGGTTCTTGCTATTCAGCACTTTGAATATTTCTTGCCACTCCCTTCTGGTCTGCATAGTTTCTGTTGAGAAGTCAGCTGACAGTTGTATGGGTACTCCCTTGTAGGTAACTGACTGTTTTTCTCTTGCTGCTTTTAAGATTCTCTCTTTGTCTTTTGCCCTTGGCATTTTAATTATGATGTGTCTTGGTGTGGTCCTCTTTAGATTCCTTTTGTTTGGGGTTCTCTGCGCTTCCTGGACTTGTAAGTCTATTTCTTTCACCAGGGAGGGGAAGTTTTCTGTCATTATTTCTTCAAATAGGTTTTCAATATCTTGCTCTGTCTCTTCTTCTGGAACCCCCATAATTCGGATGTTGGTACACTTGAAGCTGTCCCAGAGGCTCCTTACACTATCTTCATATTTTTGGATTCTTTTTGTTTTTCTGGTTGGGTGTTTTTTGCTTCTTCGTATTTCAAACCTTTGACTTGATTCTTGCGATCCTCTAGTCTGCTGTTGGAACTCTGTATAATATTCTTTATTTCAGTCAGTGTATGCTTAATTTCTAGTTGGTCCTTGTTCATATCCTCGAGGGTCTTACTAGATTTCTTGAGGGTCTCACTGAATTTATCGGCGGTTTCTAGAAAATTCTTGAAAAACCTTATAAGTGTGGTTTTGAACTCTATATCTAGTAGTTTGTTTTCCTCCATTTCTGTCATTTGTGACCTGTTTCTTTGTCTCCGCATATTTTATGCTTCCCTGTGTTGATAGAGTGGCTTTGTGTGCTAGGTGTCCTATAGGGCCCAGTGGCTCAGCCTCCCCAATTACCTGAGGTGGATACTCTTGGTGCACCCCTTTGTGGGCTTTGTGCACAGACTTGTTGTAGTTAAGCCTTGATTGTTGTAGGTATCACTGGGAGGAATTGACCTCCAGGCCCACTGGCTGTGAGAATCAGCTGTGTCTACAGTGGGAGAACTTCTGTGCTGGAGACACCCTTCTGGGGCAAGACTTGCTTTAGTGTGGCTTTGGTGCTCACTGAGTCTGCCCCCTGAGTGTGTCCCTTATGGATCTGAGGAGTTGTAATCTGGATGGTCCCACTCTGACCACTGGGTACACTGGATCTTGGATCTCTAAGGAGGTGCTAATTTAGCCTCTGCCTGAGGCTACACAGCAGGAGCTACGGAGAGATCTGTAGATTCCTCTTCTTTGTTTGGGGTTTGGAGGTGCCCAGATGTGAAGCAGTGCAAGCTGCTGTGGGGCCTTGGGCCTTCTTTTGGAAGTTCTGGGTCTCTCTGACCCAGCTGCAGTTTGTTAGGTAATTTTAGATTGCAAAGGGCCAGGCCTTTCATATGCAAATGCCTCTGCACACAGCTTGGGTGGGGCGGGGTCTCAGGGAATCAATAGGGTGGAGCAAACAGCTATGGCAGATCCTCAGTCCTACCCTAAGAGGTCCTGCGTCTCAGTGTCCTGGTAATCACTGCAAGCACCTCTGAGAGAAAGCTGCCCTCAAGGTCCGACCGATGCCAGACAGTCCAGTTTCTCCCCGTATGAGCCTGGGTCCCCAGAAACTCACCCAGAACTGGAGTTCAGAGCAGTCGGGAGCTTAAGACTCCCTCCCGACTGAAAAAGACAACCGGGTCCTCAGTTGCCAGCCCCCAGCGTGTGCGTCCATACCTCTGCACTTTACTTCCGCACCTCCTCTGAGTCTCAGTGTGCTTTTCCCTTTCCTTCTAGTTGTAGAATTTCCACTCAGCCAGCCTTCCTGTGGTTCTGGATGATGTCCGTTTTGTCTTTTAGTTGTATTTTTGAAGTGGTTGTGCAAGGCAGCAATTTCCGGTGTTTACCTATGCCGCCATCTTGGTTTTTCCCGCCTCGCTGTGTTTTGTGCAGCTCCCTCACATTCTATTTGAGGTTCCTGCCTTCTAAATTATTTTAAAAAATGAGTTATTAGTCTAACCTAGAGATTCAAGATCACAAATTGTGGCCTACTGTAAGGGTATAAAAGATTTACAAAAATGCCACTGAGCTCTAGCTGTTTTGGCTCAGCGGATAGAGCGTTGGCCTATGGACTGAAGGGTCGCAGGTTCGATTCCGGTCAGGGGCGCATGCCCGGGTTGCAGGCTTGATCCCCAGGTGGGGACATGCAGGAGGCAGCCGATCCGTGATTCTCTCTCATTATGGATGTTTCTATCTCTCTCTCCCTCTCTCCCTTCCTCTCTGAAATCAATAAAAATATATTTTAAAAAAATGCCACTGATAATCATTTAACAATGTCTAGCCTGACAATACTCCTGAATCCCTTATTCATAATAGAGTAGGGTTTAGTTCTATAACACATTTTCAGAAAAAGAAACAATTAAGATAGGACAAGGAAAACGAGCACTGAGGAAAGGTTTATGGAAGAGATGACATTTAAGCTGGGGTGCAAAGAAAACTAAAATTAAAAAATAAAAAGTATCCTATATAATAAAAACCTAATATGCAAATTGTCCCCTCAGGCAATCGTTCAGACTGGGAGACCTGGATTTCGACTGCTCGCCATGACACGCATTGACCACCAGGGGGCGGCGCAGAACACGACGGGCGTCGGTGATGCAGCACTGGCAGCAGGTGGCAGTGGAGGCACTGCCGGCTCTGATGGGTCCCAAGGAGAGCGGGACCGCGGCAGGATGGTGGAGCAGGTGAGAGGGCGGCACCAGGCCAAGGCGGGTGCAAGCGGGGGCCCAATTGCTCCATAGATGGTGACCAGCAGCGGCAGCGGGGGGTGGGGCTGCCGCCCAGCTCCTAGTTGCTGAGGGAGCCGGGGGGGGGGGGGAGGTCTCGGCCCCAATCGGTCGCCCCACAGGCAGGATGGTGGAGCAGGTGAGGGGGCAGTGCCAGGCCAAGGTGGGGTGCACTGTGGGGCTGCGAGGCTGGGGGCTGGGGCCCAATCTCTGCAGGCCACCCCAAGGGATCCCACCCATGCACAAATTTGTGCACCGGGACTCTAGTAAAATTATAAAGCTGGATGGAACTCTAACATCATCTAATTCAGTGGTTCTGAACTGGGGTTGACTCTGTCCTACAAGGCACATTTATCAATGTCTGGTGGCATTTTTGGTTGTCATTACTGGGGAGGGGCACTATTGGCATTTAGTGGGCAGAGGCCAAGGACAATGCTAAATATCCTACACTGCACAAGAAGCTCCTAACAACAAATTATCTGGCCCAAATGTCAATAGTGCCAAGGCTTTCTCCGAACTCAACTTTGTTTTACTCAAGAAGGTAACTGAAGGCTAGAGGGATTTAAAAATTTGCTTAAAAGCCAAGATTATAAAACAGGCCTCATAACATCTTGTCCAGTGTTTACGTTAAAACACACACCCACATGTTTTTATACTAGGAAACAGCTGTTAAAAAGAGTGGTAACATCTTTATAAGGTGGCAAAACAAGCTATCTAAAAATCAAAGCTGATATTGTTAAATGGCTTTTCTTGGCTCAAAGAAAGAATTATGCTACATTAAAAAAATTATACCGAGATTTGTTCATAATACCATATTTATCATTGATACAACTCAGTTATTGAACACATATCTAAGAATAAGAAAAATTACAATAAAAACTAGGAAGCTGGAAGACCAGCATTTGCATGCACACCCAGTTACTCCATGGGACAAGTCTTTTAAAGCTCCACCAGCTCCACCCACTGGGGATCTGGGACCTAGCTAGGATTGATTAGCATCCTTTATTCAAAATCAACTCCTGAGTTACCCTTCCATTTGCTGCTGAGCTTTCTAGTAACAAATTAATTGTACAAAAAACTTGCTTAGAGTCCTGATTTAGGACCTAAATCTAAACACGTGAAATCACTTGAACATCTTTTCCCTGCTCTTGAATGCATAAAAGGGATGGGGATAAGGGAGTGAGGTAATATCAATAACATGGATTAGTTTTCAAAAAAGTTTTTAATATATTACAGGAATACACGGACACAAATATACACTCCTTACCTTCAATTTGTCAACTGGTGAAACTTTAACTATGGTAAGTTGTCCAGTTTGACATGTGATAATTCATGATAAAAAATCTTGAAGAAAAGGCTGAAGACACTGTCCTAAAAAAGACCAAAGAGGTAAAATTCAAACTGTGAAAGGTTTAAAGAAGACAGCATGAACATAAGGTCACAAAAAAGAATGTAGCCATTTATACATCTTTACTACCTGAAATTTCAGCAAATGAAGTTTCTGTTGCTAAATACTAACAGAAAATTCATCTGACTGCCTGAATCACCCTGCTCCACTTCCCAGTCAGTCACCTCTAGTACCTAAGGCAGAGCTGGCAACAACAGAGTGGATGGCTAAAGCTTTTCTGAGGTTTTGGCTTTAGAGAAAGCTAGGAAGAGGAACTTTGTTGCATCTCTGGCAAACCATTAGGGGTCCCCACGGCTCCCCTTGATGTTCTAGTTATTAAATTTTAATAGGTTTGATTACAAAACTGCACCATAGCCATTAAAGGACTGGAATTCAAAGAGGTGAGCCAAGCATTCCAGAAGAAACTAGAGGTTAAACTGTATCTGACAGCCTGATAGGCAGAGGGACAAAAGGAAAACCCTCTTCCCCTACCGTCAGGTTAGGAACCTGAAGGGCTGCACCTTAGAAATAGGGGTGAACCAGAACATACACTGAATGCAAATTGGCCTTCAGTCATCTGATTTGCCCTGAAAAATCTCAAAAGTGGAGATCAGACTAAGTAATCTTGGATTCCCTCAAGAAGATGCCACAAAAAAAAAAATTCCTTTCTGGAAGACATTCTTGATCTCAGATGATTTTTTAAACAAAATTTTCAGCACACAATTAAAGATAATCAGGCATATGAGGAGACAAGAGGACAAGATTAAAAGCTGTAGAAACAACAAAAAGAGACTCACAGGCACTCCAAATATTAAGAATTATCAAGCATAGATTTTAAATTATATTTACTATGTTCAAGGAGATGAAAATCAAACTTGATCTCAGCAATTAAATGGAAACTATAAAAAGTGACACAGCAGACTTCTAAAAGGAGCAGAAAGTAATTTTTAACTGTAAAATACAAAAACTAAAAATAAGAATTCAGTGAACAGGTTAACAGCCAATGGACACAGTTGAGACAGTGAATCAGAAGATAGGTCAGGGGGAAAAGCTCAGAATGAAGAGAGGGTAAGAAACATGAGGATACAGCAAGGAGGTCTAACATCCAACTCAGTTCATTGGAATCCCAGAAGGAAGAAAGAGACAGAAACATTATGTGAATGGCTGAAATTTTCCAAAAACAATGAAAGATGTCAAACAACAAATTTAAGGATCTAAATGAATTCCTAAATGAAAATCGACAAAGAAAAACTTAAAAGCACCCCGAGGGTAGAAAAAATTACTTTCAAAGCAACAGATGGATAGCTTAATTCTCAACAACAAAAATGGAAGCTGAAAGACTGTAATGGTATCTCGAAGAAGCAGAAAGAAAAACAACTGCCAACCTTGTATTGTACTGCAGAGAAAATATCCATCAAGAATGAAAATAAAATATTCTCAGACAAATAAAAGCAGAGTTCACATCCAGCATACCCCTACTAAGAAATCATAAAGCAACAGAAAACTGACCCAAAATGAAAAGTTACAGATGCAGAAGTAAACATGTAAAAAATCTAATGGGACACTGACTGTGTAAAATGATAATGTCTTAAGGGAATTAAAATGTGTATTATTAAGTTATATACATTAAATCTGTATAGCTTTTGAACATATATACACACATCTCTACATACACATATACATACATATAGAAAATTAAGTTATAGCACAATAGCAAGTATGTCAGGAAGTAAGTAAATGGAATTAAGGTATTTTTAATGTTCTTGCTTCAACCAGGAGAAAGGTAAAAGTATCAACACTAGACTCTGGTAAGTGAAGGTAATCATAAAAAGAATTAAAATGGATATGTGCTATCTGAACCAATAAAGGAAAAATTGACATAGAATAATCATTCAAATGAAAGGAAGAGAAAAAGAAATACAGAATGGAAGGGGCAACAACGTGATGCTGTATGTAATATTAGTAGTTACATTAAATATAAATGAATTAAATGTTCCAAAAAAGAAAAAGATTATCAGACTAGATTTTTAAATATCTACAAATATATGTTGCTTTCTAGAGGTTCATGTAAAACATAATACAGAAAGATTAAAAGTTAAAAGGATAGAAAAATACATCATGTAAACATTAGCCAAAATAAAGATAGTATAGCTAAATTATTTTCAGACAAAATAGAAAAGCATCACTAGAGTTAAAGGAGTCACATTAAGAATAATAAAATGTTTACGTCACCAGAACACTATAATTAACTAAATTTGCATGCACTTGATAGCATGGCCTCAAATTATATATACAGCAAAAGTTGACAGAACTACTAGGAGAAATAGACAAACATCAGTATCATTGTGGCTGATTTTAAGATATCTCTCAGTAGTTGAAAGAATAAGCAGACAAAATAATCAGTTAGGACACAAATACACACAATTAACAATATATAACACTACATCCAAGAGCTGCAGAATATATGCTTTTCAAGCACTTAACATATTTACAAAAAAACTGACCACATGCTAAGCCATAAAAGTAAATCTCAAGAAGTTTTAAAACTTCTTGAAATCACGCAAAGAAAGTTCTCTAAGGAAGTTGTGATAAAACCAGAAACCATTACCAAATATGCAGAGTTAGAAAATTCTCATATTACTGGAAATAAAAAAATACATTTTTCAATAACCCATTGATCAAAGAAAAAATTACAATGAAAATAAGAAAATGTAAAATTAATAATGAAAATATTACATATAAAAAATTATGGGATGCTGCCCAGCTTCTGTGGCTTGGTTGGTTCAGCATTGTCCCATGCAGTCCCATGCATTGAGAGGTCACTGGTTTGATCCCCAGTGTGTGTGTGTGGGGGGGGGGACGTGCAAGAGGCAGCAATTTATGTCTTTCTCTCTCTCCTCTCTCTCTCTCTCTCTCTCTCTCTCTCTCTCAAAAGTAATAAAAACATTAAAAAGTATTTTTAAGTTAAGGGATGCTGGTAAAGCAATGCTTCAAACTGAAAGGTGTGGTTTTATATGCATGTTGGGAAGGAAATAAGGGGTAAATTAGTATCTAACTACCCCTGTTAAGAAGTTATAAATAAATAAAAGGAAATAACTTAAAAGCAGGTATTTAAAAAAACAGAAGAACACCCATACAATTGGTTCTTTAGAAAAATTTCTGTAATTGCTAAACCTCTAGTAAGATTATCTTTTAAAGGAGAGGAAAAAGATACATGTGCCCAGCATCAAGAATGAAAAAGGTCCATGAGTAATAAAAACATATGTCTGCACAAAAATATGTATATGAATGTTCATGGCAGCATTATTTGTAATAGTCAAAAAGTGAAAACAACCCAAAATGCCCATCAACTGATGAATGAATAAATAAAATCCCAGAAATAAATCCACATTTATATGGGCAAATAATTTTTGATAAAGGAGCCTCTTTAATAAATGGTGCTGGAAAAATTGGAAGGTCAAATGCAAAAGAATAAAATATACTGTTTGTCTTCATATACAAAAATTAACTCAAAATGGATTGAAGACCTAAATATAAGATCTGAAACAACAAATTACACAGAAGAAAACATAGGTACTAAACTAAACTTATGGACCTTGTTCTTAGAAAGGATTTTATGAATTTGACCACAAAGGCAAGGGAAGTAAAGGCAAAAATAAGTGAATGGGAGTATATCAAACTAAAAAGCTTCTGCACAGCAAAAAAGAAACCAAAACAAAAGGCAACCAATCAAATGGGAGAAGATTGCAAACAACAGCTCTGAAAAATGGTTAATATCCAAAATATATAATGGCCAAATTTTTATAAACATGTAATTTATCAAACAGTTGTTAAAAAAACCAAAAACATCAAGCATCTTTTCTGACCACAATTATATAAAACTAGACATCAATTACAAAAAGCAAACTGGAAAATGCACAGATATGTGGAGATTAAACAACATGCTACTGAACAACTAATGAGTCAATGAAGAAATCAAAAGACAATTTAAAAAAACCTTAAGACAAGTGAAAATACACCATACCAAAATTTATATATTCAGCAAATCTAAGAGGAAAGTTCATAGCAATAAATGCCTACCTCAATAAACAAGAACCGTTTCAAACAACAAAACATTAAACCTCAAGGAACTAGAAAAAAGAACAAAGCCCAAAATGAGTAGAAGGAAGGAAATAACAAAAACCAGAAAGGAAATAAATAAAATAGAGATGAAAAAGACAACAGAAAAGGGCAATGACACTAAGAGCTGTTTCTTTGAAAGGATAAACATAATAGACAAACCTTTAGACTCAACAAGAAACAAAAAGAGGACTCCAATAAATAAAATCATAAATAAAACGAACCCTAGCTGGTTTGGCTTGGTGGATAGAGCATCAGCCCGCGGACTGAAGGGTCCTGGGTTTGATTCCGGTCAGGGTCACATACCTCGGTTGCAGGCTCGATCCCAGGCTCATGAGGGAGACAACCAATCAATTGCCTCCCTCTCACACATTGATGTTTCTCTCTCTCTCCTACCCCCTTTCTATTCTCTCTAAAAATCAAAGGAAAAATGTCCTTGGGTGAGGATTAACAAACTAAAAACAGGAGGCATTATAAAGATATCACAAAAATATAAAGAATCATGAGAATACAATGAATCATGACACTACATGAACAATTATATGTCAATTCCTAGAAACATACAACCCACCAAGTATGAATATTGAAGAAATAAAAAATCTGAACAGACTGACTACTAGGAGAAAGAATGACCAATACTAATCCTTCTCAGACTCTTTACAAAAATAGAAGAGAGAAGACTTCTAAACTCATTTTACAAGGCCAGCATTACAAGTGTTGGCGAGGATATGAAGAAAAGGGAGCCTTGTGTACTGTTGGTGGGAATATAAATTATTGCAGCCACTATGGAAAACAGTATGGAAGTTCTTCAAAAATTAAAAATAGAACTACTATATGATGCAGCAATTCAACTTCTGGGTATTTA